ACCTTCTGCATCGATATGAACATTGGGGACTTTGCAGCTGTTTTCTTTCATTGAATTCCACACGAGGGCACAACACAGGTTTACTTTCTCGCCATAATTTTTCTTGTTCGCATGATATAGATATTAAATTTTCACGGCTGCTCTGTTACCATGTTTTATAAGGTGTGGCAGATAGTAGCCATTATAAGTTGGCGTGTTGTGTTGTGAGGACGCAAGCGTGATTTGTGTCCTACGTCTATCTAATTAAACTTTGAATAACTTCGGTCACCGCCGTCGACGCCCAACATTGTATGCATGGCTAAACTTACACGTCCCGAAAAAAAAAAACATTACTTTCAACTGTACACACAGACATACAAACTACTGTGTCCGCTGAAAACCTATTCCAAAAGGAAACGAAATTTGAATAGAGGTGTCAACTCAGCATATGCCTCCTAGAGGAAATTGATGAAGTACGAGCAAAGGTTGAAGATACGAAAAAGCAAGCACTGAGCTTAAAGATAACAAAAAGCTAGCCCTGAAAAGGCGTATAACTATGCGCAATTGTATTCGACGCAACTTCCTTGTCACACTTATCGCATTCGTCGTGTGGGCATCATTTTGAATCGACCTATGAAGGACAGGTCCGCATCACAAGACTCGTAGAGACTCCCGAAAACGTAAGCGTGGTGCTACTGAGAAAGCTTAAGGACACATCAGATCACTGTTCAAGCCAGCTATTCCTCAGTTGATAGGTGAATCATTCAAACGGCATCACACAGAAGCATTCAGAATCCGAGCCGCTTTGCCGCATGTGCACGCTTAGCTTGCCCTTCATATGAGCCAACGAAGGCATGCCAAAAGTTGAAAAAAAAAGGGGTTCGTACAGTGTACACCAGCCTTGTATTCAAGCCTGAAATCACTATGTTTTTCACAATCCCTTATTTGCATAGAAGATCAAAATGGGCCGACCTTGTACATCTCTCAAATTATGAAATTTTGGCTCCAGGTCTGTGGCTTTGTAGGACGCTGTCTGCGGGAAAAGAGCCATGCACACAGGTAGCGCCCCTGCTAATGATCCCGTTATAGCCGTCAGTTCAACGGCTAGTCGAAACCGCGGGGACGTCGGGAGAAGGGTAAGCTTTGCCAGTCCTCGCATTATAAGGTGCGGCAAGATCAGAACGGGTAAGGGGAAAATTACACCACGAGAGATAGCTGTCTGTATCACTACATTTTTACCCGCGATCAGCGACCGTCCATGGTACTGACCGCTGCTATCCGAAATCGATGCGCCCTCTCTCAATTCATTTTGCCGCGAAAATATGATGTTACTCGTACCGGCTGCGGAAACAGCGATGTAACTAAAAAGTGCAGGTGAAGCGGCGGGTATTTTTCTTGCAAGTTTGCCCAGGCCCAAGGCTAAAGAGCATGACGTTGCAACCGCCAGCAGGTATGACTGCAAAACTTGATTGGTATCAGCTGCTCCCCCGCTGGATCTGTTGCTAAAGTTGACAGCGGAGTTGTACGTCTGGTTTAGCAAATGGACGAAAAGCACACCACCAGGAGAAGTGGCTTGCATCATAATAAAGACGATGGGGACATTAACAGGCACAAATGCAGCCATCCGGAACGGTATTGGAATCGTGGATTTTGACAACGGGTGAGTGCACGCTTCGAGGGTTGACTGGCAATCCCACAACTCTTGATTTTTGGAGTAACTCCCCACCTGCCAGTCTTTTACCATATTCTCACATCTTTTTAGATATTGCGCTGAAATAAAAAGCGTCCTGGGGTCCAGAACACGCAGGAAGTGTTTGAGGCGTCCACTGAAAGTACCAAGGTCATAAAGAGACTTGCCAGGCTCGAAATTTGGTAGTTTTGCCCGATGAGATTTGAACTCGCGCCCAGAGGTCATGGCTGGACGCAGTCAAAAGAGTGACCAACTAGAGTCCTTTAATCTACTAGCCTGATAGAATCAACGCGCCTTGTGAAAAGGAATGGACAAATGCATACAGGGATATGAATGAAGTAAAAAGACAGACGTGAATGGCGGATCAAAGGATACTTTCCCCGTATGAGGAAAACATTCCAATTACGACATGCTAGTTGACCACCGCGCGACTCTCACCACGGCGCTATTCCCACAAGTGCGTGCTATTAATCGCCTTCACTTATTTCTTTGAGCGTTTGAAGCCCTCGAGAGAGTCACACAGCAAACAATCGGCGCTGGCCTTGCCTGTCCGGGCGAGGAGGTTGCTGGCGATGGCTCATCATGGCTGGTTGCGTGTGATGCAATTGGTACCCTCGATTCGCACGTCGTCTTCACGTCACAAATAAGCCAACGCATACGAATACAAGCGAGCCATACGTGCCCGACACAAGCTCCGAGTTGTTGTGGAGACATTCGATCTCTTCAATGCTCATGAATGCCTCAGTGACCGGTTACATGGCTCTAATTACTTGTCAATCTCACAAAATGGATATACAGTGTTCGCAAATGCGCGCTGTCCGGTCAATTTATCCCATTAATGGATGCCTTGGCAGTTTAGCCGCTTTCAAAGTGCAGCAAGGTTGTGGTCCATTATTTCAACAAATGGCTACCTGCAAGAAGGTACGTCAACCTCGTAACCTTAATTTCCTTGCAGGCTTCGCCCACGTTCGTTTCTTTGCTGTGTTGGTAATCTAGCGCTTGAATCACTTTTTTGATGAATGCTGTCTGAATTTTCCATGCACATTATTTGAGTCATGAAGTCATACCATTCGGTACACGCATACATGATCTCACGGAATGTGCGTGAAAAGCCTTGCGGTAGAGTCCATAGGACTATTACGACGATGGATTGTCAATCGCCTTTCCTACCCCTGGGTGGCTGATAAACGAGCGTGCTTGTTCATAATTTTCAATTCTTTGATTCTTACGTGAATGCTTTAAGACTCCGTCATGAAAAGGGATTTATCTTGACTTGCGGATTGTTCGCACAGTTCTAATATGGTGTACCTAAGTTTGCTCCTTATCTATGTTGCGTCTCTCCAGTGTTGTGGACAAGCTCGACCTCAGCATGCGCTGCAACATCGGTCCTTAGCAGCCATGGCACCGGAGGTGAAGCGCTTCCAGCTGGCCAAGCAAGCCTATGCAGCGCGAGTGGCAGCAGTGCGAAAGGAGTACATCGCCGAAGTACAGCAGAAGAAGGAGCAAGAGGAGGCAAAGCTGCGGGCTGAGACGGCACGCATTAAGGAGGCTAAGCGACAACGTCTTTTGGTAAAGGCAGAAGAGCGAAAGAAAAACCTATCGACCTTCCTTGAGGCTCAAAAAGAGCAACGTCAGCGATTCCAGCGCTATCTCGCGGCCATGCAAGAAGTCCGAGAGGCGTACGTGGAGGAGGTCCGAGACAAACAAAAGCACCTGATCGATGCGCTGTCGGCCGAGTCGACTCTTTGGATCACCAGCGAGAATATGGACGAGAAGATCACGGACGACCTTTTCGACGTTGCCGGGCGATGTACCTTCACCCCCACACGCCGCAGCCGTGATTGGCACTTTATGGCCTTACCCAGAGTACCAGACTTTTCTGCCTATTCCGATGAGGACCTGTTTGACGAGAAAGAGGACGTGCATTTCCTCACAGAGAAGAGTCCCTGGGGTCACGACGAGAAGTCAACGATTAATATACCCGAGGAGCACGAATTTTATGCTTCAGGTCCAGCCGAACGCGTGCCTCGCGTTGTCACAGATGACGATACGATGTCCTCTTCTACAGATGGAAATATATACTTCAAGGATGCGGCCTACCGTCCCAGCCTAATAGCTGCGATATTTCAAGGAGCCTATGCAGACTTTAAGCCTTCGCAAGTGCCAGACAAGGAGGTGAAGCTCATCCGAGAACTGGCCGAAAGATACGAAGAACAGCTTCAAACCATCCTCCACAGTTCTCAAGACGACGTTAACGCGGAGGCGAGGGGCACCAGCAAAAGTCCCACTTCAACGATAGCAGACCGAGGCGGTTTCGATCCAAAGGTTTTTTCGAAGGAGATAGACGGATGAGTAGCGGATAGCTGAGAAAGCAGCCACTAGTATGTGTCACAAATCAAAGAAGAAACAGAAATGATTGGGTCTGGTGTCAGGCGGGTAGAAATTTGCTTTTTAAGGGGAAAAGCCTTCGAGGGATCGGCGAGATGACGCGCTCGCCGATTCAGGCACCAGGAGGTTGCCCAAGCTGCTTCCTCGTCCTTGGTCTATGCACGGCATTGCGCCACACGTGTGCACCTTTTTCACAACATACTCACACACTTCTGTTCCCTGTATCTGCCAGGGTCTCTGACGTCCTGGAAAGACTTCAAAAGGGCAGATTCAGTTTGTAGAGGCAAATACATCTCGCTTTATTGCTAGGAAAAGGTCCGATGGCTGAATCCAGAGAAGGTGTAAGTGAGGAACTACAGATGGTGGAACATAAATTAGGCGAGCATCAGCGTCGATTGGGTGCTTTGATGGCCGGGGGAAAAAAGTTGTGGGACCGTAAGGTGACTTAGACAAAATCACTTCAAGTCCCGATCGTTTCCACAAGTGTAGACTGGGCGAGCGAAGCATTTCCCTGGTCAAACAAAGTGCTGAAATTGGAAGATGGGGTTTTCGGTATCTCTGTACCGTGGCGGTGTCATCAAAAGGAAATCATAAACGCCACAATGGCTTGCGCGGATACATTTGTGATCATGCGCACAGATGGCGGAAAGAGTCTCTGTTCCCAGCTGCCTGCGTCAATGCCAGGAAAGGGTGTCGGCATTGTCATATCTCCCCTTCTTTCACTTATATCTGACCAAGTGTATAGCCTTGAAACAATTGCTCCCGGAGGAAGTGCCATGTTGGCTGGAAGTGCGACGAGTGAAGAATCTGGGCAAGTATTTCGTCGAATGGAAGACCCGCGACGTTCCCTGAGACTTGTTTATGTGACGCTGGAAAAGATAATCAAGAGCAAGCTCTTTGTTTCCACACTGGAAGCCTTAAACGATGCACAATGATTGGACCGATTTGTTGTGGATGAAGCGCATTGTGCGTCCAGCATGGGTATTGATTTTCGTCCTGACTATCGAAAGCTTTCAATCCTTCGCAAGCTCTTTCCCGACGATCCTATCCTTGCGGTGACGGCTACTGCAACACCATAAGTGTTCCGCGACGTGTCTGATGTACTGCAGATGCGAAATGTAGAGCTTTTTAAAAGCCCCTTTAACCACCCGAATCTCTTTTACCGTGTGTATCCAAAGCGAGCTGGATTGGACGATGCAGTAATGGCCGTTTGGAAATTTATCGTTTGAATCAGAGTGGCATACTGTACTGCTTCTCTCAAAAGGAATGTGATAAGGTATTTAGTAAGCTAGCTGCCCTGGGTGTCGTTACGGGGGCGTTCCATGCGGGACTGGATGTGGCCGTAAAGGATCACGTCTTGCGTCGCTGGACTGCCGGTCATGTGCAAGTTGTGGTGGCTACAAAAGCATTTGGAATGGGATGCGTATGGCGAAAGAGAGCATGAAAGTCTTGTGCTATGTACGATTATTCCGGCACGCTGGACGATCTTCCTTATCCTCTCATTTGAACCCTCTTATTCTATTCTCACTCCTCCCTGCAATCCGCATCTTATCGTTTAAGTATCTCCTTAACAGCCAACTCATGACGACATATCATTTATGGGTTTGGCTTTTTTCTCCTCGTCATATTTCTTCTCTCCCTCGTAAACCCTCCTCGACCTTCTTTCTTTCACATGTATATTGGTGTAAATACACTCATGAATTTCCCTTGCACGCTACACAGCATTAATAAACCCGACATTCGCTTTGTCAGACACTTTTCTCCTACGAAAAGCATAGAGAACTATCTTCAAGAGTCAGTTCGAGCGGGTAGGGACGGCAAATATAGCAGCTGCTTGCTACTGTACCGCGCCTCCGACATAGTGCGTCAAGCCTCGCTAGTCATCTCAGACCGTGTTGGTTAACAAAAGCTACGGACGGTTGTTGACTTTGGTCAGTTGTCTTTGCGACATTGCCGTCGAGTGTCAATCGACATTTGTTTCGGAAGAGAGATGCCGAGGACACTGCGACTTCTGCAGCGAAGAAGGCTTCATCGTTTGCATGTGACGCATGCGACTCATACTTTAAGTTCTTCCTGCCCTGACGAGCAAAGGGAAGCGATGCAGTCTCCGGCAGCTTGCAAATTTGTGGCTGAGGGAAGAAAGAAGAGGTAAGAGGGCAGCAGCGCGCGGTAAGCCCAAAGAAGAAAAACTAATAAGTCGTTGCGCGGACAATCGATCGCTTGGCGACCGCGATGCTGAATATATTTTGGGGGATACAGATCAAGAAGAGTTGCTTCTCAATCAACTTGTTCGCGGAAAAAAATAAAAGGAGGAGTATCATGCCTCGATGTACTCGATCATTGTTTACCTTGTCGTGGGTGATCGTGCTACGGAAGTGGAGCGAGGGAGGACCGAGGTTTGGATGGACGTAGCCGAGACATTGTCGCTTGGATCAGCAGCCCGGATGGTAATGCATCATCCTGATGATTGTACCGTTGCTGGGCGTAAAAAACGAAAAAAGGAGGAGCCATATGCCAGCACTTTTACGAGAAAATTACGTGAAATTGTCGAAGTGTCATCGGAAAACGAGGGCGATGTAGAGCGGAGAGAGGAAGATGTACGGGAAAAAGGAAGCGAGGCAAAAACAAGGGCTGTGTGCTTTTCTGACGGTACTCAAGGACTTGCGGCAGATGGTAGACTCTAATAAAAAGTTTTGGGGTCAGGGAGGTCGTAGCAAGCCACGTTTTAGACTCCAAGCTGGAAGTAAACATAAAATGGCCAGATCAAGAAGAAGAGTTTGTGTCTTGCTCTGTCTAAAATATGTAGCGAATTTCTAAGCCAAATTGTAAATAAATGTATTTAATCTGTGCAGCCTGCGTGTCGTGGGCATTAGAGAATTCGCACGTATAGTTCACAAGAATGACACACCCACTCTCTTGAAAAGCCTTCCCATGGAGGACGTCTCACTCCTCGATTCGACAATTTTAAGAGATCGAAAGCAATTCGCAATCTACCTCCTTCTTTCTCTGCCAGTCTTTATGGATATATCTTCATAAGATACTGTTTCCCGTTGCTGACGAAATGAGTCCGACAGCCATGTCCACAGTCCTCTCGTCGCCACCCGCCATAGTTAAGGTGGGGTTGACCTCGACGAGATCCATGGATGCGAGGCACCCGGAGTGTGCTACCTCCTCGCAAATATAGTAAGCCTCCCGATAGCTCAGTCCGCCGGCAACACGCGTGCCTGTCGAGGGTGCATAAAGGGGGTCGACGGCGTCGATATCAAAGCTCAGATGGAGCGGCCGATCTGTCCTTCCCAGTATATGATCGAGGACCATCTCCATGATCTTCCCTATTCCAAATTTATCAACTTCATGCATGGTGTAGGCCTTAATACCAAGACTCCGGATAAATGCCTTCTCTCCTTTGTCCAGGTCTCGAAGCCCCACATAGACCAAGCGCGTGGGTAAGAGTACAGGAATGGACTCGTCGTTGAGCCAGTGAAACCCCTTCATGTTGCGCGAGTTGTCTAAGTTCATCAAAAAGCTTAAAACCATCCCATGCAAGTGGCCCGACTCTGATGTGTTGCGGCTGTTTATATCCGCATGCGCGTCCACCCAGATTATAGCCGTCTCGGGCCGGCCCTTGAGAGCCCCAGCGACAGATCCCACGCCAATGCTGTGGTCGCCGCCCAACGTTAGGACCAGCTTATCCTGCCGAGCATGCTCGTGCGTGACCTCATACAGTATGCGATTAGCATGCCCTACCATTTTGGCGCGTTTCGTGGAACCATGTGCAGCTCCCTCCGCGAAATCTTCCTGTCGCCCAAGGCCGCTCCGCATCTCAAAATCCAAGTCGCCAAGATCTTCCACCCTCCAGGCATCCCTTTCAAGTCGTTGCACCAAGCCACGCTTACGAATAAAAGTGGGACCGCGATCGACGCCCAAAAGCGGCTGTCCATCGGCGAGAGGTGCTCCAACAATAGTCACTTTTCGGGGCTCCACTACGTATCTGGAGAAAAGCGTCGCTGGCAGAGGCCGGGGCCCAGAAACAGTCGCCAGCAGTCTCCGGCTTAAAATTGGTCTGGCTGATATGCGTCTTGTCAAAAAGTGCTGCACCTGTGGCATCAACGTCTCGCTCCGCCCGCGTAGTACCATGTGCCAGTACTGTATTTCTTTCCAAGTTACTGTCTTTTATTTCAACACTTCAGCCAGCTTTCTCTTCCTTGACGAAGCCTTCTTTGATGGGTATATGCCTTGTAAGTGCTACATGGTTTGTTGTTTCTTGCTTTGTGTTGTTCAAAAGGAGTCAGGGTTCAGCTTGGGCGCACAAGGTGCTCCTCCCTTTCATGTACTATCCCCACGCTCCTCTACCCGCTCCCTGCTCCTTCCCCAGTCCCGTGCTTCTCGTCCACTTCGTCCACACCGCGCCGCCAACAACTTGTGGTGCTCCCCTCCTTCTTCTCCTCCTCGTGTCCCCGGGCGCCCCTCCTCATCACAAGCAGGGACTACCTCACCGCCTCCTCACTGCCGCCGGGCGCTCGCGGACTCTCGCTAAATTCCTAACCCTAACTCGAACGCCACAGGAAAATGGCACAGTTAGCAAGCAGGCAATGCGTAAGGCCCCTCGCGCGACATTGGTTAGGCTAATCACGTAAACCGGCCTCAACATAGACAAAATACGTGTTAATGTCCTCGAATATTGATCCTCAAACTTTTTCACAGGGTTTTCTTGCCCTCTGCCGCTGTCAGCGTCCATGAAGACTCGACCGGAAGAGTTGCTGGCTGCGGATGTGGAACACATTAAGGAGGAGCTTCTTAGCTTCGAAAAGGAATTTGTCGTGCGCCATGGCCGGAAACCTGGCAAGACAGACCTGAAAGCATTGGACGAGGACGGTGATGCGCGGCGCTCTAGTCGCATTTACGAGTATTATATTCTTTACGCAAAATGGAAACAACTTCGACTGAACCCGCAACCACAACAAAAATTGCTATCCACATCTGTAATTAATCGAGGCGAGTCAGACCTGAAGATTTATCGAGGCGAGTCAGAGCTGAAGACCGTCTCTGCGAGCAAAACTAATTTCCCAACTGTCCTTTGGACTGGTGGGCCGCGGTCTCATTCCGCAGGTCCAAGAGTGAAACCGACAATCCGGCAGCGATGGGAACAGCAAAAGCAGCAAGACGCTTTTGGGCGTGAAGAAGGCCGGAAGAACTGTGCAATGTCTGTACCCCAGTCGGTGACACGGTGTACTCCGTCTCACAAAACGAGTGAGGTAGTTCTGAGCTCGCCCGACCGATCCATGCATGCCCGTCACGCTCTGCAGGGCTCCCTGACAGCATCCGCACTGGTTGGCACAAAAGGCCCAGGTGCTATGACCGATACTTCCGGGAGGTGTGGTAATGCAAGCCTTGCCGCAGCTTTCCATGATTTGAAAGCATCTACAGCGACGTCCTCTACTGGCACCGAGAGTATGAAGCGGATTTCCTCCTCACAACCTCCCTTGCAAATGTTGTTAACCGGAAATACCGGGGTGCAAAAAGGAAGTGATGGAAAGAACGACGAAGGATTTGGCCACCCCGTGACTGGGCTCAACAAATTAAAGATGAATTGGGCCGCTCGGTTGGAATCTGTTTCTACGCGAGGATCGTCAACGCTCCAGCAAGCAGCGGGCCTCCAAGATACCCCAGCCGCCTGCTTTGCTTCATGTGGAGTACCGAAGTATCCGCAGGGTAGAGCCCATGATGCCTTTGGTGAGACAATGACCTTGCGGTCTGCAAACAATGACAGCAGTGGGAGTGGAGAAGGGATAGAAGAGAGTAGATCTGATAACACGCGCAGTATCACCAACGGAAAAGCAAGCAAGTGCGAAAGAAACGGGACATATTTCCAAAGTGGGACGTTAATGAGACCGTCGTGCAGCCTGACCGGCAAAACGAACAGAGGTTTCTTATCACGAGGCCCGGCATGGCGTACCCGAGTGGTGAGCTTAGCGCAGGCAGAAGAGGAGGCGAAAAATTCACACTATCCAAATATATCTCAGCACCTGAAGCCAAATGGAAGCAACTCGTTCAAAA